CCCCCCCCCCCCCCCCCCGCGCCTTCTCAGTCTGCACAGCTCTCAGGGAACAGTATCAGTTCCCACGACGCACCTGTATACCCCAGGCTTCTGTGGCCAACCTGATTGTGCTTTTTCTTGCTCCTTGTGTGTTTTCAGTCAGCCATTCTACATGCCCAAGTTCTGGGTATGCCTTTGGAGATGCATAGCCTCGGCGATGCCCTTGTTGTGAGTGTGGAAGAGATACGGTCAGGTCTCTTGCTTACACTGGTACTTCCATCATTCACCCTAGGCCTAGGATAGCTTATCGGGGTACTAAGGTCCTCAAATTTGTGGGCCTGTCCATGCATACATTACTATTTTTTCCCAGTGCTTAAGGAGGGATATACTCAGGGCAATTGTAACCCCAGAGACTGGGTGGATGCAAGTCAGGAAACTCCTAAGATGCCTGGCCCTGAGGATTAAAGAAAGGTGTTTATGGGCTATCCTTGGTCTCCGGGCTATTGCACCATCACAGATAGAGCATAATTGCTGAATGAATTTGATAGTATATAGTATAACAGACTGGTAATCTGCATAGTAACGCAAAGTTTACTGTTGCATGAGTAACAAAAACCCAGAGACAGAAATCGGGGTTCAACCTGAAGGTCAGAAAAGCAAAGCAGCCAGCCACTGGCTCTCACCTCCACCTCAGTTCGAAATGGCGATCCTGCCTCCAGGAATCTCAGAATGAGACTGTGTCTGAGAGCTGTCTCCTCCCGTCATATATTCCTCTTTAGGACTGGGATTAAAGGCGTGCACTACTACCTGGTCTGTAAAGCTGATCAGTGTGGCTGTTTTACTCCCTGAACTTTAATAAATAAATAACTTTATTTATTAAAAAAAACAAATGAAATATCACTACAGTTTCCATGTATAGAGAATATACAGAGTATTTTTGTATTGCTTTTACATTTTCTCCTCACACCTTTTCTCTGGGAAAGTAGATCAGACAGACTGGTTTTTTTGTTTGTTTGTTTTGTTGTTGTTGTTTCTGTTTATTTTGCTAGGAGCTCAAGTACTCAGACAGGTCTTAAACTGACTCTGTAGCCAAGAATGAATTTGAACTTCTGATCCTCCTGCCTCTACCTCCCAAGTGCTGGGATGACATGCATGTAACACTGGGCATAATTTGGAATCTTTAAAAATAAAAAATTGTAGCTGTAGGAACTACAGTTCAGAGATGCTAGGAAAGTGACTGCCTCTGCTCCCAGACAGTGGGGAAGTGCAGACACCAGTCCCTCAGCTGACCTCACCTGAGGAACTGATGTCTGCACTTCCCCCCTTGTCTCCTAGCAAAGGGTGACTAGGTGGTGAAGTAATTCTCTGGAGAAGCATGACCAATTTCCCTTCCTCTGCATTCCTCTCTGCCCCCGCCCCTGCCTGCCAGACCCCTTATATACAGTTCTCCAAGCCTCCCTTGCCTGCATACACAATTGAGACAGGAGCTTGCTACCTACAAGAATATCCTCTACGGATGAATGGTGAGGAGCTTGCCCAACTTTTCCAGCCGCTTTCACCAGCCTCCTCTAGCATCACTTCAGGACCTGAGGTGAGCCATGGGGGCTGCCCATAGCCTTTGCTCTGAAGCTTTAGGCTGTGGCCTTATTTGGGAATGCCGGCTTAAGGGCTGATTGGCAGATACCAACCTCTTGAAATAACTGAATGAGGCGTTGATTACTCCAGCTTATCCCAAGGAGGATTGGGGTTGCATGGGAGGAAGGCCAAGGGGATAAGAGACCCAGAGATGGACTTCAAGAGGAGTTGGGAAGCCTACAGCGCTTAGAAGAGCATGGGAAGATGTTTGACAATGGGATCTGGCCTTGGGCACCTGTTCCCTATCCCAAGTATTTATTCTCTGCCCTTCTGAGGTTGGGAGATAGTTTCTTCAGGTGTCAGGCAAGGACATGACTAAGACGGCTGGCTCCTATAGGGTTGTAGAAAATGGGGCGGAGGAGTAAAGAGGAGAGAGAAGAGAAGCAAAGAGCCAGGGAGGCACGGCAAACAGTTTTCTGTGGTAGTCATGGAGGCACGGCGCTGACTGCCGCTTGAGGGGCTGCCACACAGTCATTCCCAACGGGCTCTTCAGAGAAGCATTTTGAGAATGACTCACCTGGAACTCATGCCCTTCCTTCTGATTTCGCTTACTGGAAAGATCAGTTCTTAGGTGCGCGTCTGCCAACTGAGGTGGCAGACTTGAGCGTGTGACCCAGACTTGCCTCCTGTACCTCTCCCTGTGGGCCTCTGTTAACAACCCTGGGCTACCTTGTGTTGCAGGGTAAAGGCTGCTTGCCTCCAGATGGAGAAATAGATCTATAGAAGTTGCTCTAGGACTCAAAAGCGGGTCCTCGAAACCAAAGGATGAAGTGAGCTCTTTCTCCTCCTAAGTCTGGGGTCTCTTGTGCTCTTGGCCAAATTCTTCTTCCTTCCTCTTGGTCCCATTTCTGTTGGTGGCCGGGAGGACTGGGAGAGAGAAGGAAGGAGATACAGGTGTGGAGGTGGATGAACATGGTGACGGAGGGCAGAGAGGTAGCACCACCAGCAGCTATGAGCTGGAGGGTAGCAAGACCCTTGCTCCACTCCGGGGCATCCTACAAGGCTTGCTGTGTTCTTACCTGGAAACCCACCTGTCTTAGGACCTGTTCTGTTGTTCTACGGAACATCAGACACTGCATAGTTTATAAAGAAAAGATGCTTGTCTCAGAGTTCTGGTGAGTTTAATATTGGGGTGACATTTCCTCGATCCTTTTGGTTGATAATCCCAAAGCACAGCCTGCATACTCAGTCCCAGACAGTGTCTGGTATCATGGGACAAGAAGGCACAGGCAAGGCAGAGCTGAGCTGGCTTTTACAAAACTCACTCGAACGCTAGCTATCCCATCGACCAGTAATCCATACAATCATGAATTCACTCAAGAAGGCAAAGATGTGGTAACCTCATCCTCTTAAAGGTCCTGCCTCTATGTACCTCACAGGAGGGAGCGGATCTAAATATGAGTTTGGTGGAAGCATGCAAACCACAGCATTTTTCTAGCCCCAGGCCCCATTTGTGTGCTCCTAAGGGTGGCTGTATCACCTCTGGGAACGTTGTTTGAGGGTGTGGGTTCCGAGTCAGAGGTTGGCTCAGGCTAACGCCTCCTTTCCTTCAGCAGAAGCACCTGCCCTTTCCTCTGCCCAGATGAGCTCAGTTCTACAGACTCTGTCCTGCCTGACCCTCATCCTTCTTCTCTGGAACCAAGTGCCAGGGCTCCAGGGTCATGAGTTCCGATTTGGGCCTTGCCGAGTTGAAGGGGTCGTTCTCCCAGAACTGTGGGAGGCCTTCTGGGCTGTGAAGAATGCTGTGGTAAGTAGAGGCTAGCCCTGGATCCTTTCATGGTGCTCCCATAGGGGGTATCTTTTCAGGACGATGGATCCCTTTCCAGCTCTCATTTCATATGTAAGAACCCTGATGAGCTGGGCGGTAGTGGCGCACACCTTTAATTCCAGCAGTTGGGAGGCAGCCGCAGGCAGATCTCTGAGTTTGAGGCCAGTTTGGTCTACTAAGTGAGTTCCAGGACAGCCAAGGATACACAGAGAAACCCTGTTTCAAAAACACAAAACAACAAACAAAGAGAACCCTGATAAGGTCAGGAGGCTCCATATGCCTACTGCCATACATGAGGAACCTGAGGCCCAGTCATTGTGGCCAGCCACCAGTCAAAGAATCAGAGTCCAAAGGGTGTAAAAGGGACCCTGAGTGATTCTACTTCATCCTGGGTGAGTTTGGCTCAAGTTTAAGGAGCAGGGTGAGAGGTTCTGGGTTTTGGAGAGTCCTCCAAAAGTAAGAGGCAGCTCCTAGGTTCAGCCATCTGTTCCCAATTACCTTACCCTTTGTGGCTCCCTGAAAGGCTCCATTTCCTTGTGTCTCATAGGACTAAAGGAAGCAAAGGTTTCTTTTCAAGTTTGTGGTCAGGCTCTAAGGACCCCTGGGGGTCCATGTGCCCCTTTGGGATGAGTAAGCTTAGTGGTTTTCTGTAGACGGGACCTGTACCGCCTCCCCAGGAGCGAGCTCATTGTGTCCCTTCCTGGGTCCTCCTCTGGTCCCTCTGGCCTCCGAAGCTCACAGATGGGAGAGAGTTTGGAGTTGGGGGAACAGTGAATTAGCACGATTGGCTCCTACACGCAGATGCCTAACCTGGAGACATCTTTTCTTTCTGTTCCCAAAGCAAACTCAGGATGGCATCACAAGTGTCCGGCTGCTGAAGCCTCAGGTTCTTCAGAATGTCTCGGTAATCAGAAAGTGGGGAATGGGATAGCTCTCTAAGAGGGGCTGATGGGAGCTCTTCCCTTCTGCTCGGAGGTGACCCTACACAGGACAGGGCAGGACATGAGGCAGGGTGGTCTCTATTTGGTGTTACTACTCTGTTGGTAGGCGAAAGGGTGGGGGTTGGGGCTGATAAGCATCATTTTCCACTGAGTCAGGCCCTTGCTTTTGCTTATGGAAACACAGCGGGCATTTACTGAAGTCAGTCGGCATTTCACCTCCATCCTTTTCTCTCACCTGCTACTATCTTCTTACCATAAGCATAGACCAGTGGTTCTCAGTCTACGGGTTGTGACCTCTTTGGGAGTCAAATGGCCCTTTCACAGGGGTTGCCTAAGACCACCAGGAAACACAGATATTTAATGACAATTCGTAAGAGTAGCAAAAATTACTGTTATGAAGTGGCAACGATAATGTTGTGGTTGGGGTCACCACATGAGGAACCGTGTTAAAGAGTTGCTGTGTTAGGAAGGTTGAGAACCACTGCTCCAGCCAGTCTATGACATGCATGGAATGTCCCCTGAGGGCACCTAGCTTGGGAGCAGAAAGGGCCAGACAGCCCTTGCTGGGTTCAAGGGCATCAGGTGTCTCACTCTTCTCCTTCCTGTCATTTTCCTTGTCTCAATCACAAAGTCCGAGTCCAAATGCCTTCCAGGACCCATCACGTTAATGAGGTCATACAGTAGAGAAGGAAGGGAATATCGATCATCTGGGTGGTGAGCCAGGAGTCCTGGGAACCAGGCTAGCATCTGGAATGGCTGACTCACCTTGGGCGGGCATCTTCTTCTTGGGGTCTGGGATCCTTCTGTGAATCACTTGTTCTACAAAACTCTTGCCATCCCTTCAGATCTGTCTAGTGCCACCATCATTTCCAAGGAGACCCTATGGCATTCATCTTGCCTTGAGTGGCTCATGGGTTTTCTCTTTAGGGTTAGGGTTGGCAGATGCCTCAACGATTTGGTTCTTCCCCAGGATGCTGAGAGTTGTTACCTTGCCCACAGTCTGCTGAAGTTCTACCTGGACACCGTTTTCAAAAACTACTACAGCAAAATAGCTAAATTAAAGCCCTTGAAGGAGTTCTCCACTCTGGCCAACAACTTTATTGCCATCATGTCAAAACTGCAGCCTAGTGTGAGTAGATCAGGACTGGAGCCTGGGAAATGGTGGGCTTGAGAATCTGCCCCTCCCCCATCCAATCCTTCCATTCCTAACACCGAGTAATAGGTTCAGGTCTCCAACTTCTCTGATCAGAGAGATAACCCATGCAAGGCGCTCCACTTCTCTGGGCTTCAGTTTTGTCATCTGTGAAATGGGAATGACGTTTCTACTGTAGAGATTTGGTGGGAAGAAAGGTACAGCCTGTCCTATGTTGGGACTCTGGCTCTGGCTTCCTTGAGAGTGTAGAACTCAGTGAAAACCTCACAGGATCTGGGAGCCCCACCCTGATAGCACCAGGAAGAGCTGGAGGGGCGAACCTCCACTCTGCTCTAACCTTAGGAATGTTTCTTGCTGATCCGCAGAAGGACGAGGACATGCTTCCCATCAGCGGGAGCGCACGCCGGCGGTTTCTGCTGTTCCGCAGAGCATACAAACAGGTGAGGCTAGCAGCTGGAACCAGGCCCACCCAACAGAAGCAGACAAGCTTGAACTGTCACAGGGGAGTGCCCCAGAGACCAAATGCAGACTTGAATGCAGGTGCCTCCTCTGGGCTAGTCCCAGACCTACCTGACCCGGGAGGGAGACACACATATTTGCAAAAATAAGCATCTACTTTGCAGAAGTGATTTCTTTTCCTGTTAGTGTTTTTTTTTTTTTTAGAATTTTTATTGAGCTCTACATTTTTCTCTGCTCCCCTCCCTGCCTCTACCCTCTCCCCTCCAACTCTCCCCCAAGGTCCTCATGCTCCCAATTTACTTGGAAGATCTGGTCTTTTTCTACTTCCCATGTAGATGAGATCTACGTAAGTCTCTCTTAGTGTCCTCTCCTGTTAGTTTTCAAACAGAAATGATATTGTTTTTCCTTACAAGATTGTTCACTATTGAGGACTTCCCTTAAAAGAAAGTTTTACAGGTACCTAATGTTAGAGCTGAGAAAGAGGGTGAATAACTGACCTTCCAACACATCTGCATCGTTTCTGCAATGTTCAATCGGTCTCATTTTGAATAAAAAATAGAGGATTACATTATATCTTTCTAGAATAACACACAAAAGAAAATCCAAATCTCAAGCCTAGTACCCTCACCCTCAAAGAAAACATGCTTGGTTTTGATCACTTTATGGGAGAGCAGATACACCAGTCTAAAATCCATGGTGGGATGTACAAAAGCATGCTTATCCTCCCAGTGAGCTCACCACATCTTTCCTAGGTGGCATCCCATGGTTCTATGTTCAAGGTCTGTGTTCTTCTCTGGCTCCTTACCCACTACTCAACAGCCCCTTTTCCTCACCCTGGAAACAAAATACACATGGATGGGGTACAAGCGATGGGTGGATGCATTTATCAGAGGCCATTCCCCGGGTGATTCAGCTAATTTGGAGTCAGGTCCCTTTCAGGCAAGCCAGGCTGAAAGGAAACTATTCTTGAAGTCAATATCCCTGACCCCTTTCTCTCCATTTGCTGCAGATGGACACAGAAGCAGCTTTGGTGAAAGCCTTTGGGGAAGTGGACATTCTCTTGACCTGGATGCAGAAATTCTACCGGCTCTGACTGTCTGTCAGGATGATGTCCTCGTTCGTCCTCCGTGTCGTTTCAAGCCATTGTTTACACCCATGCTGTCCTCAGACCCTCGGACACAGACTGACTCCATGGTTGGCTCAGGCTTCCCTTTAGACTTCCTTCCTCAGCAGTCCACATGACAGTCATGGAAGGTGCCTTTGAATGCTGTAACTGATCCACAAGGTGGATTCGCGTATTTATTACAACTTTATTTAAATCACTGTCACTGTATCGGTGGTAGCCATATTTATTTGAGAACTTGGACGCTCCATGAAAGCAGCAGAATGTAGTGCCCCATGCTTCCACAGTATTTCCTGTGATCTGGCTACAGCATGGGGGCAGTGGATGGATGCTCAATGAATATTTAAACTGGGTTGCTTCTGTTTATTTATTTTTATCTGTTTTGAATTGTTGGGGAACAATGAGTGGTGCTGAGTCAACTTTAGTGCTTGGGAATCACACAGGGAGAGAGTGCTGGGGTGGAAAGGAAGGCACTGACTTGGGATTTTATTTATCTTCATGTGTATGGGTGTTATGCCTGCCTGTATGTTGATCCCCTGGGACTAGAGTTAAAGATAGTTGTAAGCTGCCATGTGGGTACTGAGGATCCAACCCAGGTCCTCTGGAATTGCTGCCACTGCTCTTAACCTCTGAGTCATTTACTGTGGGAGAATGCTCTTGTACACTGTAAAGATCTGTCTCTCCTATTGGCTCAATAAAACACTGATTGACCAGTAGCCAGGCAGGAAGTAAAGTCAGGGCGACCAGATTAGGAGAAATCTGGGTAGAGGGAAGGCAGAGATGCAGTAGTCAGTGAGATGCAGAGGAAGCAAGATAAGAATGCCTCACTGAGAAAAGGTACCTAGCCATGTACCTAAACATAGGTAAGAATTATGGGTTAATTAAGTTGTAAGAGCTAGCTAATAATAAGCCTCTGTGTGTTTCTTTGGGACTGAACAGCTGTGGGACCAGGCAGGACAGAAACTTCCATCTACAGTTATTGCTCCACCAAAGGACACTAATTTGAAGACTAAATGATGAAAGCTACAATGTGGGCTAAAACAGAGCCGATTCATCCCAAAACTTCACCTTTTCCTTGATTCCCCACCCACCCACTCCCTGATTTCTACAAGTACCCCTCTTTTCTTATGATACCATTCTTTCCTTATCTGTTTAATATGATGTATCAAGCTGAGAGTGACTTTATACCTGGATGCAGTGTTCAATCTGTGATGCTATTCCTCGTGAAGTAAGGCAGCTTGACTCAGGTAGCCACTTCCTTCTATTTCTAGGAAAGGTTCAGGGAGCTTGTGTTGTGTATCTGGGAAAGGCCTTCTTCTCAAATGCAAGAACTGGCATTCTCCTGCCTCATGCTGTGCCTGAACTCTGCAGCTGATGTCAATTCCAGAAGTGCCTGACTCTACCCTTGCCCCAAACATCAGACAAGAAGCATGTGCGGGTGGGATGTCTCTTCTTCCGTGCTGGAAGTGCTAGGGCAGAGCCTTGACTTCGTGGATCCCCCAGGGTGCTTTGCTCCCATGCCTTGCTATGAGCTGTCTGGAATTGACAAGGAAACGGTTGTATTTCTGAAAGCAGAGAGAGATGATAGTTTGGCTAAGATCAAAGTGAAGATAGGAGATAGCCAAGACTTTCTGAAAGAGAGAGATGCTGGAGTCAGGTTATTTATACCAAGTGATGGGGAGTTAAAGAGGATTCATTTGTGTGTGTGTGTGTGTGTGTGTGTGTGTGTGGTGTCTCTAACACTAACGAAAACTTAGTTCTAAAAATTTAGAATAAGTAATCATATCAAATAAGTTGCCCTTGACATGGGACTCAAGAAATGTAGAAGCTCATTATGCCCTTTGGTACAAGGCCTGTGAAGATCAGCCAGGGTTATGTTCCAGTCTGATGCCACATGAGCTAGGAGTAAGGCAGCAAAGACCATGTGACCAAAAGTGATGAAGCATCTTGTAGGTCCCCTAGGATGTTAGGTGGCACAGAAGGGACAGGTGCCGTCATGACAAATGAATGCTCTGTATGCCCAGAGCTCTCCCGATGAGTGCAGGGGGCGTCAATGAGGTGAAAATTAAATTGTAATAGGACCATTCTCAAGGCATTCAGATAATCAGGCGAGACTCAAGTTGGGGTGTGGGACATGGGAGGTAAGGGTTTCTATAAACAAATCAAAAAGGTGCTGGACATCAGCAGACAGGCAGGACTCATTGGCACGAAGATCTGGGCCTTGGGGGCCAGCTGGGGAGATGACATGGGCCAGGAATGTTGATGTAATCGTCTGGATCACTGTCTTCCACGTTGACAGCAGGCTGGTGGCCCAACATCAAGTACTCACAGCTTGTCTTCAGAGGTGGGGTGTGAGGCCAGGGGGCTTCAAGTACCTGGGAACAACCAAAGGAGTGTCAGTAGCTCTGGCTGCGTGATTTTAGCATCTGTTTAGGTGGATATCCGCTACAGGGAATGGAACGACATGGGCATGGTTGCCAAGTTCCAGATGGTAACAATGCAGAATTGGCTGAACTCCATTGAGTGGGCCAGCCCCAGGGTTTTTCAGGGTGCACTCTCACCCCCAAATAACTGGAAACTATTTCATTCTAACATGGGCAGGATATGCTTTACATGGGGTTCAGACTGAAATCATACGGTGTGAAGGAGGCCCACCTGCAGAAGTCTCCCCTTGGGGACAGAGGGATATGACATGTAGGAAAAATATGCACCTTCTCTGGCAACTATTCAGAGGTAGGGTGAGTCATTTCTTATACCTCTGCAAGGACTTGGAGAGGCCATGACATGGCACAAGACCGCATTCCAGAAAAGGGCTGGGCAGCCGAGGAAGGGAGATTGCAGGTCATGTGGGCACTAGGGTGCTTCTCTCTGCCAGGCAGAAGCTTTAGGACTTCTCCTTCATGGCAGCTAGTTCTCAGAAGACAAGGCTATGTCAAGACTCCAACAGGGTACAAGTACTGTAATGACCATACGGCACATCCACAGGAAAAGAAGACAGACTCTGCTGGGCCAGTCACCCCCAAGCCTTGGATACTATTGGGGGGGTTATGTGGGTGAGAGGACACATTCAAGAGGCTGGAGGTGACTACAGGTTTCTTCCCATTTTAGCCAGACACATGATCATTTAATCAATATATTGCCAACCAGGCATGGCATTCATAACCTCCCTTGAAGGCAGACGTGCCTGCAAGACAGCTACTGGGAGGCTAGTGGAAGTGGGATATGAAAATTCAGGGTCATGGTCATAAACAGCCGCTTTCCCTGTGGGTAGAAATAAGGATTTGGTCTGGCGGCTGAATACTGACCATGGACATGGAAGTTTGTTGGGGCTGTTAGGGCAAATATCCCTGGGTTGGTGTCCTGGGTTAAGCCACTTCTTCTGGTCCCTCTGGTTTGAACCTTGACTTTAGAGGAAGACATGGCCTCCGTGTCCTGAGCTCTGCATTTTTTAAGTCTGTTGTATTTAATTAATTATCACTGATTAACACACACAGAGAGCCCTTATTAATATTTTCTGGCTACAAACCCCACTGTTTTAGACGTTGTGAATACTTAAAGAATTTTTCCTTCATTTGGAAAAACAAAAGGACACACCTGTTCTGTTTGAACACCTGCATCTCTGCCCAGTCACTTTGGATAAAGTCTGAGGGCCACATTACCGCCTCTCATTTTAAATGGGTTTTCCAGAATGTTCTCCCTCACACTGAGTTAAAACTGTCGGGGTACCTTCCACCACCTCTAGCCTTCTAGAAACCTAAGTGTCCCTTTTACACTACGGTCGCTGCAGGGTTACACATCTTTTATCATTCTCTACTTGACTAAAGCCATCCAGCATCCATTTATCCCAAGAGAAATGCTTGACCAGGTAAGTAAGGTAACCAGAGTTCTCCGGAGGGCTTCAACCTAGGAACCGGATACAACCAATTGGGGTACTGGGGACTAGAGGGGCTTGCTTGCCCTGCTGAGCACCGATCACTGGCTGGGGTGGGCGGAGCTTACCTGCGGCGGGGCGGTGTTTGCTGAGGCTAGGGTACTGAGAAGTGGAGTCTCTGTTGGGCCTACGGAGAAGAAGAAAGCGGTGAGTGCTGGGCATCTCCAGGCCTGGCCGCCACCCGTCCCCTGCGCCCCGCTGGAGCCCGTCTCCACGCTTCACGCGTGCGTGCGCTCACCCACTCGGTCGGGTATTGGCGCACGCCGCGGGCAGGCGCTGTAGACGTTGTTCTGCGAGCGTGGTCTCTGTGGGGCACCCGGGCGCTGTGCGAGAAACTGGCGGGACGCCTCCCGGCCTCGAATCCTCATCGCCACTCGGCCCACGCGCCTGGAAAAGGCTTCAGGGAGTCACCGGGAAGAGAAAAGGACATGGCATCAGATGCCGGTGGCCACCTGCATCTCCTCCCCCCTAACTGCACATCTCTCTGGTGTCTGGCACTGTGTGACCTATGCATAGATGCCCAGGGTGCAGAGCGCAGGAGGAAGGGCAAAGCCCTCCTAGGCTCCATCTCCCATCCACGGTCCCTGGGAGTTCAAGCTGGATCTGAATGCTCTGCTCTATTTTGGTATCTCAGCTCTTCCCACCGAAACCCAGAGCCTCAAGCTGCTCACCTTTCCTTCTTTGAACGGCTCTTTTTACCATCAGCCCCAAAAGAACCAGCAACAGAAAGCCCAGGAAGGCCGGAATCAGGATGTGAAATTCTAGGACGGGGATGTGCAGCCCTTGGTCTTCTCTCTCGTACTGTGGGTTGTGGTGGGGTGTTCTTGGCCAGGGGGGGGGGGGGGGGGGGGGGAGGAAGACAGAGAAGGTAAATGAGGAAAAGAAACGTAAAGACTCAGCCAGTGCGGTCACCCGTTTTGGAGATGACTCAGAGTTGACCCTTTGTGAACAAAACCCCCTCCATCACCCCACCAAGGAGATTTGTTTATGGGGTCAGGAGTCTTGGGTTCAAATCAAGTTCCGCATTTTACTGGTTATGTAGTCTTGAGCGAGTCTTAATTTTCCTGAACCGTATTCCCTTATAAATGGGAACCATAAACCCTGCCACAAATTTGTTAGGGCTATAAAACAAAGAAGATATAAAGAACTGAAGGTGCCTGGTCTATAGGACTTTCTATAACAGCTCCTGTTCCCGCCGCTAGAAACCTTTTCACGGGCCGACTTGCATTAGCCAGACGTGGAGTCTTTTATCTTTTAACGTCTTAGGACACTGCACGGTGCCAGGCATGTAGTTGACATTTAGAAACTGTTTATTACGTGGATTTCTGAAATAAGAATCAAGAGTCCTGTTTCACTGAAACCACTTAGACTTCATTGCCCCAGTTCCCTCGCTTATAGGATTCGAATGATTCTGGGAGTTCATCTTCGCTCAGACTATAAAATACTTGTGGGTTTTCTTGCGCATTTGCTATAAGGCTGCCCCCTAGTGGTTCATTTAGGTCCGATATTTAGGACCTAAATAAGGAATTTAAAGTGTGTTAGCGGCATTAAAAAGGAAAGGAAAAAAGATGACCGTAATTTTAATATTTATTAATTGGTAATTAATTTTAATTAAATTAATTAAAAGTTCTTCTCATTTAGTTATTCATTAGAACAGACCTGAATGAATCTGTATGATTGAAAGACCCAAGCCTTTCTATAAGGTCAGAAATGGCTGTTGGCAAGCCCATCTTTGTAAATGAAACCAATGCATTTTCATAGCACACTCAAAAACAGCATTTCTCTGGGGACTCCTGAAGATAAAGCCGAGAAGGGGCAAGTTGACTTCAATCCGAGAAGGGGCAAGTTGACTTCAAGGCTCTTAGCAGCCAGGCCCTAAACACAGACTCTTACCTTTGCCCCTGGAGACTGGTGTGGTGGCTGTAGCTGGCCGCTGGGGGCCGCGGTGCAGGCTGAGCGGAGGTCTTTGAGGCTGTGGGAGCTGGCAGGAGGGCTGGGGACTTAGCAGCTGTCATGGAAGATGTTCTGGAACCTCTGGGATGGTGGGTGACTGGAACGGTGCTGGAGGGCTGGTGAGCTGGAGGGGCCTTGGTCCTGGGAACTGGTGTGGTCACTTCAAGAGAGAGAAGGGAAAGGTAACAATGGTGATCAGCCATGTTCTCCAGTCTGCAGGAGTGTCTTCCTCGCTCAGTCCTTTTTCCCCTTTTGCCCATACATGCTACCTTTGTCCTCGCAGTCCTCATGGCCTGGAATGCCTGTATAGCAGGCTATCTACACAGGAAATTTTCATACATGCTTCTTTCAAATATCATTTTCTCCGACAAGCCTTTCCTGACTTCACAGGCAGAAGCACTTAGCATGTACTGAGTGGGGGGCTGGGGGTGTGGGGTGGAGCGTCTCTTGCTTTTCTATGCTCATTTATTCTCTTCCATCCCATCCTTGTCAGTCACACTCGCTGATCTATCATCTGCCCAGTTACACTCTTTCTCTTGGCCCCAGCAGGGCCTCCTAGTGTAACGATGTTCAATTAGTGTGTCTAACTGATCTGGTATATGCTGACATGCCATGGAAACCTCAGCGTGACTGTCATCTTTTAAGTGTCGAATAGAGTTGTTAAAACCACTAGCTACCAGCAGGCAGAAGACAGCCCTGCAGGTAGCCGGAAGTGTAATGACCTCCAGCTGGGAACCAGCTGCCCTACCCAGACTTTGAAAAAGGAGCTGGCATTTGTCAATTGGGCACTTTGTTACTTTGGTTTGGTGCCATCTGGTGGTGATATGAGACTCCTGCAACTAGGGCCTGGTGTCCTAGTTGGAGAATGAAGGCCCTCTCTTAGGGCAGGGACAAAGAAAGCATGGGAAGCCCATTTTTGCTTTGCCAGCCACTCTTTCAACTAATAAATAAATAAATAAATAAATAAATAAATAAATAAATAAATAAATCCCTCTTCTGTAGACCTTGATTTAAAGGACTGACCTTCGGATATGGATCCAGAAGAAGTGACATGTTCAACCTCATGGAGCCGGCTGGGAATCTGCTCCTGCGGAAATCTGTGAAACCACGGTGGAGGCTCAGGGGCAGGCTCTTCTTCCCAGAATGGTTCGTATTCTATTGGAGGCAAGAGGGATACACTGGCGATCACCAGGGAGGAGAAAGGACTGGAGGTTCAAGTAGACACTGACTCGGGCGAGGCTGTCAGGAGATGAGCAGGGTCCCCTGAGACAAGTGGAAAAGGAGCCGAACATGTCCCCCTCCCCCGCCCCAAGGAACCGGTCTTTCCCAAAGCCCACCCAGCATTCCCTATAAGACCATCGGGCTATTGGGATTATAAGATGCTGAACCAGTCGTGTGCATGTTAGGAAGTTACTGAAAAGAGGAAAAGTCAGGGGTAAGAAGACATGAAGGGCCCGACAGTATAGTAACAGTGTGAACTAGATATGGTTTGATCAGGGAGTCTTTCTCCTTTCCAGTCGTCCGAGACTTTTCATAAGTACATAGGACCGTCACGGACCTCCTTCTGGTTCCCTCAGCCTAATGTCTGCCTCTCCACTCATGCCCTGGGTAGGACAGGCAACACACAGCACCCATTTTATTCCATTGTCCCCTGTGGATAGAAGGTTCTAGGCTGGGGTGTTGGTCTTAGGCTGTGTCGATCTGCATTGTCACGGGGCTGCCTAACACGGCACGGGACAGTCACAGTTAGAAAATTGCCTGTTTTCTCAGCTGAGAATGTTTCCTAAGCACCTACCAGGATGGACATTCAGGGTGATTCTCTGGGTCTTGCCCCGGTCTGTGTGTCCACCCACACCGCAAGCATAGACTCCATTGTCACTTCCGGTCAGCTGCCTCAACTCCACTAGGAAATGCTCTGGATCCGACCATGGCAGCAGGACGACCCGTCCTTCATACTCCTTCCTGACGAAGCTGTTGGACACCACAGTGGCACAGATCCTGGGGTCAGTCATCTCCCGGCACAGGTACATCCTCACACCTGTTTGAGGGTGACGGAGTGGGCACCTGACGACAATGGATCCACCCCACTCGGCATCCAGCTGTACTTCCGGGAGGACCTTCAGCGTCCCAGATACTGTAGGGAGGAGAAACCAATGCAGAAGAAGCTCTATATCCAGATGCGTCTCAACTTCAGCCACACCCTCAACCTCAGGCATCTCTCCAAACCTGGTGCCGACCCCAGACCACCCTCACACGCTTCCCTAGATCTAGCCTATCCCTGCGTTAGCCAGGCTCAGCTCTAGGATGACCTCTGCCTGTTGACCCGTGCTCAGGTTCTTCAAGGTCCTGTTCTCTTACAGGCTTACTCTGTGCCCATCCCGTGTCAGCATCAGCCTCGTTATTAAACCTGAGACTGTAAGGACTTAGACACAACCACAGTGCCTACTCCAAAGAGAAGCAGTATGCCTGGAATGACCCCCAGTGACACACAGCCCCCAAGTAACTTCAGTATAGGGCTGAGAAAGGTGACACGTTTCGCTTCCAAGATCCCCTTTTCCTCAAATCCTTTCTTCTACCCAGCCCCCCCCTCCAACTCTATCAAACCATTCAGCCATTGGATGTCTTTCATGTGTATCCCTCCGTCATAGATCAATCATGTGGGTAAGTCATCCCAACAGACTGCTTCTACAGCACATGGAACAGATTCCAGGAGAGAGATAGCTTAGGGCTCCCCCAAAAGGAGTGAGCAGGAGCACCTGATTCAGGCTGCCAAGGGGATGGTGTCCCAGGAGTAAGGCTTTGAGAGAAGTGATGTCTTAGCTGCACCCTGAGCCAACAGGCATGAAGGGCAACAGAAAAGGTGATATTAGTCACTAGTGTAGAGAACTCGTGGGAGCCAAAGCAGGTAGGCATGAGTGTGAGTGCACACGTGTGGTTATGAGCATACGTGCATCTGAGAGGGAGCGCAGCAGGGAGGAGCAGAAGCTGTGGGCCACAACAAGCCAGGGGAGAAAAGGATAGAGTAATTTAACCCTCGACAGAAGAGGTTAAAGCCACAGAAGACCATGTAAGTGGGGCCCAGCAAGTGCCTCCATAGACTGAGAAGAAGGCTTAGTTACTTATCTATTGCTGTGGCAAAACACCATGACCAAGCCAGACTACAGAAAAGAATACTTAATTTAGGGCTCATGGTTTCAGAGGGTTGGAGTCTATAACCATTGTGGTGGTGGGGGCATGGTAGCAGGCAGATAGGCATGGTATTGGAGCAGTAGCTGAGATCCACAAGGAAGAGGGGAGGAGAGAGAGAGAGAGAGAGAGAGAGAGAGAGAGAGAGAGAGAGTAAACTGGTGGAATGGTGTGGAGTTTAAACTTCAAAGCCCACTCCCAGTGACACACCTCTTCAACAAGGCCACACCTCCTAATCCTTTGCAAACAGTTCCAAGTGTGAACCAAACATTCAAACATATGAACCTCTGGGGGCCATTCTTATTCTAACCTTGTGAAGGACTGATAGGGTAGAGTGTGCATGTGTGTCTTTAGGTGTTCTGGAAGGCTAAGGTGGAGGTGAGACAGGCCTTTCAGAGGACAAGAGCTGCCTCTATCAGGATGGGGATGTGAGAAACAACACAGCAGGGAAACCTGCCAGCTTACCGACATTTATCTGCAACTGAATGTTTGCGCGCATTCTGAAGAGCTCCGATGACTTAGTCAAACGAGAGTTAAAATAAAAAACCAGAATGTCAATGGGCTCGAGGTTTCTAGATTAGGATATTTCTGGTAGAGGGGAGCATTGAGGTGTAGGAAGGTGGGGAAAATGGGCTAGAGATGGGGGTCAGGCAAGGGTGAAGGACTGGACAATATCCACAGGAAGCGTTGAAATGGAAACGTGAAGCTACGCTAACATGCCAGAGAGGGGAAGAGGCAGAGAAGGGTCAGCCAGAAGCATGTGGTCTGCCTGAGAACCCTGCAGAGCATACACAAAACCCAATAGTGTTTAAAACTGCTGCCAGCTGAGCTCACCTGGTGGCTTCCTGCCTGGACTCAGGCAATGGAAGGTAACATATTTGCAAAGTCTCGTGAGAGGAGACCTGATCTAGGGACCGCAGGAATCACAAATAAATACAGAAATCAAATAAAAAACCCGACCAGGTTCCAGGGTAAACTATCTAGCCAGGGTTACAAAAACAGATTTCCAAGACAGAGATAAGGCAGGCACAGTCTTGCAGTTCGTAAGTTTGAGATGCTGCTGTCCACATGAGTCACCCAGAGAGCTCGCTGGTGCCACGAGCAGTCTTGTCCTTGGACACGGGCACTCTCTCTGTCTAGACTGCTGCAGGGCCCACTTTTTAAATGAATATCCCAGATACAATTCTCGGCCATTTAAAAGCTATTTGGGGGAAGAAAGAGGAGGTGGGAGAAGGTGTCTAAAGGAGTCCACAGGTGTGATATTAATGTTGTAGAGGCAATTAAATGGCATCAAGTTTGCAATCTCAATTTTGGTGACTAAATTGCTGACGATCAAAGAGAGGGAAAGACGTAGTCTGAAAATCACTGTCAGTATACAGTTGGGTGAAAACACGCATTTGAGACGTGAGTGATGCTCTGTAGCTTTCTCACAGTGCGGAGCAAGGTGAAATAAGGTTGGGTCTTGAGGGCTGAGGCCACTCCAGAGATTTTCTAGGCAGCAGTGGGATTCAACCCAATCAGGAGCAGAATGCTCAAAAGAAGGAAGACTACAGACTTGCGATTTATGTACTATCAAAAGGAATATAGGCTATGAGTGTGTGTTTGTGGGGCAGGCGCTCTCTCCACCTGGACCTGTAGCTCACCCATTCACCAGCAATCCTGGGCATCCTTTTGCCTTAGCTTCCCCAGCTCTGGCTCCTAGGTGTGAGCCACTGAACCTGGCTTTTTATGTGGCTGCTGTGGCTCTGAGCTCAGGTTCTCAAGCTTTCGTGGCAAGCATTTTCCCTACCTACCTGCCTGACTGTGAAATTCTAAATTCCTTTAAAAAGGACGAAAGGGCTGGTGGGATGGCTCAGTGGGTGGAGGCATAAGCTGACAACCCTGGCAATTTTGGTTCCCAGTGTCCCTGTGATGGAGAAAGAGAACTGACTCCTTCAGATTGTCCCCTGACATCCATACGCATGCTGTGGCACATGCCCCAAATATACAAACACAAACCAAACAAACATCATAAAACATTTAAAAGCATGGGAACTTTCCACTCGGTGTCCCATTCCCATCCACAGCAACCTGCAGGTGAACAGGCCTGTCTCCTGATTTCAGCCTTTTCCTTTCCCAGGGCACTCCTTCTGCTGCAACCCGAGTCTCTACCCTTCTCTTGATTTAGAATGTCTGTCTGCAATGATCCCCCTTTCTGCTGCACCCATCGGCTGAATTCTCTTCAGCACCGCCACAGCTCACACACAAACCCTGATAGTGGCACCTTGAAAACCCCGCTGTTTGCTCTTTTCTGTTTCCTTTCCCAAATGTCTCAACAAATTCATATCCACTCCTTCAATTTCTCTTTGATCAAATTCGATCAAAATTTGGTCTCTAAAAGTCCACTGACACTGCTCTCATCCACGTCAAGACAACTGTCGCTATGGCTGTCTCTGTTGATCGCTTGTTTGTCCCCATCTTACTGGTCCCCTTGGCAGCATTTGACCCACCCGAGTCTCTCTTCTAGGATCCCTTTTTGTGCCCCCCTGATGCTCTACTGCCATAGCTGTTCGCGTGCTGGCTCCTCGCTTACTTAGTCATCTTCACCCACCCCTCAGTGGTGGACTCGCACACAGCTCGGTACCTGACCGATTCTTCCTGTGTCTTCCCTGCTCTTTCAGCACTAACTCATTTATTCTAGGACCCTTTAAATACAGGTGCTGGTAAAGTTTTAGCTGAGCACATGTTTGCTTCTAGTCTTGTTACTGCCTCTGAGATCAAAACTGGCTCTGGCCCTTGGACTCCATTGACTATTTAAGATAATATCTAACAACAGCCAGAAGAGAACTCTTCCTAAACCTGCTTGCACATAAAAGAGTTTTCTGTCTTGGAGAATAATGCTACCATCCAAGGGCTGAAGACCAAACCCATCCTCATGCTAGTGAATCAAGAATAAATTGCTGGAGGTCCAGGGAGAGGGCTCAATGGGTGAACTGCTAGCTTGACAATCCAAGTTCGGTCATTGGAACCCATGCAAAATCCCAGATATGCATCTGTAATCCTCTCATTCCTATGGTGAGATAGGACACAGAGAGAAGAGAACTGCCTGGAAATTCACAGGCCAACTATCTTAAAGTATGTAGCATAGCAGCAGATACAATACGAGCGACCCTGCCTTTAGTAGGCAGAAGGTGTGAAGTGACTCTCCAAAGTCACACTCTGAAGCCCACATATGTGCTGGTGTTATATCACTACACCCTCTAGTTCGAGAGGTGAAATACCAAACTCAAGTCATCTTTTCTATTGTCCCATTGCAGAGTTGGGAGTTTCCCCTTGTGATGGGTTGATGGATTGTTTTATGTCCACTTGACAGAAGCTAAAGTCATCTCAGAGGAGCAAAATCTCAACTAAGAAAATGCTTCCACGAGCTTCTGGAGTTCAGCTGAAGAGAGGGAGAAGGAATCATATGAGCAAGGAGGGGGGAGGGTTAAGATCATGATAGGGAAAACCACAGAGACAGCTAACCAGAGCTAGTGGGAGCTCATGGACTCCTGACAGCCTGAGAGCTGGGGAACCTGCAAAGGACCAAACTAGATCCCCTGAATGGGGGTGAAAGTTATGTGGCTTGATCTATTATGTGTGGGGTGACTGGCAGTCACACCAGGACCTATCCCAGATGTATGAGTTGGCTTTTTGGAGCCCATTCCCTATGGTGAGATGCCTTGCTCAGCCTTGATATGGGAGAGGGACTTGGTTTTTGCCTCAACTTGGTATCCCAGACCTTGTTGAATCCCCAAGGAAGTCTTTACCCCCTCTGAGGAATGGGTTGGGGATGGAAAGGGGGGGAGGGTGGGGTGGGAGAAGGGGAGGGAGGGGAACTGGGGTTGGTATGTAAAATGAAAAGCAAATTTTTTTAAAACAAAAATAAATGGAAGGAAAAAAAAGAAAATGCTTCCAAATGATTGGGCTTCAGGCAAGCCTGTAGGGGTATTTTCTTAATTAGTGATTAATGGGGGGAGGGCCCAGCTCATTCTGGGTGTTGCTATCCCTTGGGTGGTAGTCCTGGGATCCATAAGAAAATAAGTTGGGCAAACTTATTCGCTTTGAGGAATAAGCCAGTAAAGAGCACTCCTCCATAGCCTCTGCATCAGCTCCTGCATCCAGGTTCCCGCCCTGATGAGTTCCTGTCCTGATTTCCTTTAGTAATGAACAATGACGTGGAAGTGCAAGCCAAATAAGACCTTACCTCACCAACTTGCCTTTTGGTCATGGTGTTTCATTGCAGCAATAGAAACCCTAACTAAGACAGCCCCTAACTGTACTAATCTCTTAATGAATCATACTTCTTCGTTCTATTTGCATCTTTAACTGAGTTCGCACTCCTTTCTTTGCCAAGCGGAGCATTTTCCACACATTTCTGTCCTTTCTCACTGTAAATCTGGGTAAACACAGGGAGTCGTAACCATGCCACTGCCTGAATGCTACGCCACATTTACAGTTCTCCTGTCAAACAACTTAGTCCATTTGCGTTCAGGATCATTCCGCTTATGGAGGCGCAAGCAGAATACAGCCAGATTTTTAGCCGTGTTATAACACAAATGGCTTCTACTCCAAATTCTGATGGAGTCCTTGTTCTCCTGTGTGTAAGAGACTCTGGTCTTAAGTGCTCACACCAGAAGACTCTAATTAACCTCTGTGAACAGCGTTCTAGACCTTCTTTAACCATCCCTGTTTCAAGACGCCTCCCGAAAATGAGTTCTGAAGGCCTATAAGCCCCAGGTCAGATGTCTCAAGCAGTGGTCCCACTTCTTGGCATAAATTTCCTAGATTAGTTACTTTTCTCATTGTTGCAACCAACTACCTAAGAGGGAGAAACTTCAGTAAGGAAAGGTCTGCATGGGCTCACAGTTTGAGGGCGTAGACCAGTGGTTCTCAATCTGTGGGCTGTGACCCCATTAGAGGTTGAATGGCCCTTTCACAGGGGTCATCTAAGTGCGTCAGAAAATACAGATATTTACACTACCATTCATATCAGTAGCAAATTTACAGTTATGAAATAGCACGAAAATAATTTTATGGTTGGGGGTCACCACAGCAGGAGGAACTGTGTTAAAGGGTGGCAGCGTGAGGAAGGTTATGAGCTAGTAGAGACCGCCATGGAATGGAAGCTACGGTGGCGGAAGCATGAAGCTGATGGATTATATCTCGGGGTGGGATGGTGTGTGTGGGGGATCAACAAGGAAGGTGAATCCCAGTGCTCAGCAGCTTCCTCTCTTTCCTGCTTTTATTCTATCCGTGAAGTCAGCCCATAGCACAATCCACAGGCAAGGTGGAGCTCTCCCTCTGTTAACTTTCTCTGGAAACATCCTCACCACCACATCCAATGGTAAGCCTGACTAATACCTGCGCATTTCTTAATCCAATCAGATCCTCAACAAAGCTTAGCTCTCGCAAAGAGGATGTTATTGATGGACCAAGTAAGATATAAGAGCACTGAGCCAAATTATGATGTGACTCACTGGACTCAGAAGGCACTGACGAACGAGAGGTAAGTAGGTTTGGGAAGAACCAGTGCGGTAAACTGGGAGGGATGGTGTTCCCGTAGCAGGGACAGCCAGAGCGAGGGCACGGGAGCATGGATCTGTAGCATTTGTTCAAAGAAGAGCCTGTTTGGCTGGAAGACACACAGAGTGTGGCGCATTTAGAAGACAAGAGTAGGTGTTGGAACCATTGGCTGACAGTATAATGTTAGAGACGGTTAGGAGAGACGGGATAGCTGGTTTGTATGGCGCAGTGAAGTCTCTCAGGCAAGGCTTCAGGCACATTGAGCTCCATATCTTGGTGACTGTTTAAGGGGGTGCCGGATAGGAGTTTGTAAACTGAGCTATGAAGTTTAGGGAGTAGGTTAGGCAGTCTTCATTTGAACTCAATAGCTGTCAATCCAAGCGTGCAAAAGAAAAAAAAAAGATCCAAGGAAGGAGAAAATAGATGTAAGAAGAACAAACCTAGGCCTAGGAGACACCTATTTTCAGATCTCATACGTGACTATTTAGGATACGTGACACCTTCAGCCTTCGAAAACCTAGCATCTGTGCTGGATGAGAGTCGCGAGTTGGGAGGGGTCAGCACTTCAGTCTCCAAACGCCTGCTCTTGCCTAGGCTACAACTCAATCCGTGCAGAAACATTAGGGCTGGAGGTGGCTGGCGGTGAATTAGCCCTGGTTAATTCAAACCTGGTAATTAGCTGGGAGTGTGTGTCCTGTCCCCCCCCCCCCCCCCGCAGTACTCACCTGGCAGGAAGCAAAGTAACCAGAGCCAAAGGCACATGGTTCCTTGGAGGCCAGATTCCATACAGGAGCCCCTAGAGTACGCAGAGACACAGCGATCGCCTGGGCAGCGATCACCTGGGAGAGCCTTCTTCAGTCGGGTACTTGAAAGAGAGTCTGGCCCCCCTGAGGGGTAGGGGTTTAAAAATGAGGAAATGATAATCTGTCCTGTTTGTTAACTGGCCTTTGTCTAAAAAAAAAAAAATATCAGCAAACCACAGCGGAAATCGAGTGTTGAGAAAACATGTATTACATAAAAATGGGTGACTAGGGTTTAAAGGGTCTCTAAGAAACTCAGGACTCTGGGCAGCTACTGGGCTTTGACACCTTTCTCAGCGGGGCCTCCCAGGATTCCTTTGCATTGACCGGTTTCTGGACTAAAGACATTTATTGTTTCTCTGTCTTCAGGATAACACAGACTCATCTCTGGTTCTCTCCCAACAACAAAGGCTTTGTGGGCCGAAGCTCGGCTGCTTGAAGTCTTAAGGGGCCGTCAGTTAATTCCTCCAAAGAATACTTGTGAACACCCTACTATTTGTAGTGATATTAACCACAGATTTTGAGCAATTCACTATTTTTCTCTACACTCTATCTAGAGAATAAATGAAGGCGAGACAACATAGCCTCAGGCACCCCACCAGGCAGATAATCATTCCTCAGGGGTCTTAGCCACAGCCTGCCCAGTGCCCCAGCTGTACTTTGTCCCTCATTCTCCCACAGCAGTCTCCAAAATGGTCTTCCCTCTCACAGAGGCACACACCACTGACCGATAAGAGAAGGGCAATGCTAAGAGTCAGGTGTGACAAGTCACATAGCAACTCCGCCTGGAGTCTCAGCAGCCTGGGAGAGCCAGGCTTCAGGACACCTAGTGACAAGGGTAAGGCCACTGATGAAGGGAAGAGAGAAGCCGAGTCTGTGAAAGCTCATGAAAACAACTTTGGATTCAAGACAGAATGCCTGAGGGTTTGTCCAGACTTGACACGTTTTAGCCTTGGGCAAGCTTCCCTGAGCTGGTGTTCTCACTGATAATAACGTGGGGACAGCCACTGACTTGTCTGGTGCACAGCAGAAATCGCTGGTGTGGCAATGCTATTAAAGTCTTTTAACATGGAGATGTGCAAAACTGTAGCTTCTCAGGGGGTTCCCAGGTTTTCCTTCAGGGCCGCTTCATTGGCTAACCACAGTGCCCAGGGCCCCTGGTGTAGGCTTTCCAACCTTGTGCCCACCCTATTTCAGGCTCCTTGGTGGCTGGCTGACTGCACGCCGCTCCCCAGTCACCCCCACACACCAGAGCTGTCACGTGCTCTCCAAAACACGATGCAATCGCTTCCTCAGCCCTGGAGATTGAATGTGAGCTCAGAGCAGGTGCAGAGGAAGAGGAAAGAGGAAACAAGTGGGCGTGAGCAGCCTACCCTGCTCTGCCCTGCCCTGCCCTGGCCATCTATCTCTCTCCCGGTCTCTTCTAGCTCAGAGCAACTGGCATGTGATAGCCTTCGGCCAGCAAGTAGTCTGAGGGCAGCCTCAGGCTCTGGTTAGAGTGGCTAACCCAGGTCAGCTTTAGCGAGGATCAGTGTTGACCCTTCCTACTTAGAGAGCTCTTCCCAGTGGCCTGCACAGGCCAGGCAGCTAGCTGGGCTCTCTGTTGGCTGGGATTGCCTTGGAGTCCTGGGGCAGGCGAAAGGAAGGAAAGGAGAGAAGGAAGCAAGGAGGGAGAATAGGAGTAAATGTACAAAGTGTGATGGTGGGTGTGAGAGTGTGGGTGTCAGTGCATCGTGGACGTGTGAAGTCAGTGTCCTGTGCAAATGAGCAGCGTGACATATGTAAATGGGTGTTGTGTGGTATGTAGGCATGTGATGTGTGTTCTGGGGTACATGATGTGTATTGCGAGTAGATGGTGTGGCTGTGAGTGTGTATTATATATAGTTGGTGTGTAATTTCTGCCTGCCTATGAAGTTCTGGAATTTGCTGGCTGAGCCTGCCAGTCAGGGCTGAAGCCTTGTGAATGAAAGCAGAGCATTTTACATGTGCAGCCTTCGCAGGTTCCCTTTAAAAACTTATATGAGAAAAAAAGCAAGAGTCAGCGTGTGCTGGGGGTGGTTGGCCGTCTGCAAACCTTCTGATGGCAGTGGTGACCTACCTGCACGATAGGCTGGTATGACGGCAGGGCAAACACCGTGGGAGTAACCGACCAGTATCTGACTGGAATGAAGGCCTCTTTCATGAGAGGGCACATGTACCTGGCACTGCTCTGGTGGCAAGGAGCCAAGACTAGAGTGAACATGGGCCTGGGGGAAAAACAAATCCTGTCGTTGTACTAATGGAACCCTGCAACTAAATGACTCCCGACGACACTCTGCTGGATATATTGAGGTCATGCTCAGCCTTCTCAGAGAAGCCTCTTCCTGCTGCTGATGCCCCCTAACACAGAGACCCACAGCTGTGCCAGGTGCAGAGAGTGAGAGACCTTGGAACACTGAGTCCTGAATGGGAGGGCTCCTTCAGTCCCCTCCCCTCAGGGTGCAGGGAGCACGGCAGAAGGCAAGAGTGTGCGAGCCAGAGGGGGCGGATGACTCCAAGGAGACAATATCTTCTGGATACAACAGGACTAACTCGCAGATGAACTCAGAGACTGTGGCAGCATGTATGAGGCCTGCACAGGACCAAACCATATAAAATAAAAAATAAATCTTAAACAAAAGAATTACAAGTCTGGGCTCTGCCAGGTAGGAATGACTAGAGAGATCCAAACTCTTAGGCCTGAATCTGGTCAAATGCAGAGCTGCCCCTTCAGGCACCTCCCCAACCCCACTTTGTGACTCATTGTCCTTTCCATAGGGACATATAAATCAGTCAGCCAATCAATAGTAGTCATTGGCTGAATCTCTGGCTCAATAGTCGAGTGATTCCCTTGAAGGCATGAAGTCATGAGGTTCGATCTCCAACACCACAAAGAGGCCGCCATTGCCCTCTCACTGGTAAGTGGGAATTTTATAGATAGGTGTTAAGTGCGGTTCATCTATAGTGTACTTTAGCTATGGAATTTCTCTGTTAATTTCTAGTTTGGATAAAATAGCTGAAGATGAGAATGGAGCATTGAAGTGTTCTCTGTTATTACATCAGACTTTTCAAGCACTTTAGTGTTTGCTTTATGAAACTACAAACCCTATATCTGATGCACACACACACACATAATATATACACATATGTATATGTGTTTGTGTTTTATACCTTCTTATGGGTTATTTGCTTTATTAACATACAGTACAGTGATTCTCAACCTTTTTAATGCTTTGACAATGCTTTAATTTAATTAATTATTTAATGCTTTAATACACTTCCTCATGTTGTGATGACCCGCCCAACCATAAAATTATTTTGTTGCTACTTCATAACTGTAACCTTGCTACCGTGATGAATCCTAATGTAATTATCTGATATGCAGCCTATCTGATATGTGACCCCAGATGGGTTGTGACTCGCAGGTTGAGAACCACCAAAATAGTGACATAGTGACTTTCTTTATTGCTTCCCTGAACTAGCTGGCTTGAGGCCAGCCTTAGTGGCTATCAGACCAGCTAAGGAAGTTTTCAGACAGCTGACATTTGCTTCCTGAGTTGCCTCTGATATTCTGATATCACAGTGCATGTGTTTCTTGGTGATAACAGACAGCTGCCCTTTGCTTTTTAACGCGTTCAGATAGCCTTTAAATCTTTAAAGGGGCCACCAAGGCCATTTGTGTCAAAGGCTATTTTTGAGAGATGTTTGTTAGTGCCGGTGACTTTGCTAGCTGTTCTGGTTGGTTGGGCTCTTCTACGGTTGGTTCTTTGTCTCATGTTACTGTTGGAGGTTTCCTGGCTTACCGTGTGGGATGGGATGGATTCTTTCCTAGCTCCCCTTGATTCATCTACTTATTGCCTAAAAATCATTCTTTCCTTTGCTTTTGTGAATAGGATTTTCTTTTAATATGCTATTTTTAAAATATTTTTTGAAGATTTAGAAAATATCCATGTGTGTATGTGTGTGAGAGTATATTCCATACATGTGGAGGCCAGGAGAGGGTGTCAGATGCCCTGGGGCTAGAGTTATAGGCAGTTGTAAACTGCTAGCAGTGTGTTGAACTTAGCTCCTTTGGAAAAGCGGGACACACTTGACAGCTGGTCCATTCGCCAGCCCCTTAAATATTTTCTACATTGCCGGCATAGTGGTCATGAACTGCTTTAATTTGCAAATGTCCTTATTTCTTCTTCAGTTTCAAGGGCTGGCTTTATTGGATGTAACCATCTTGACTGGCAGATGTGTATTTTCAGTGCTTGCCATATCCCATGCTTCCTAGTTCCTAGTGTTGCTAGTGATAGACCTGAAGTTACTCTATTGTGTTCACCTCTGTAGGTGGGGCCGGTGGTACACCTGATGTTATTGTGTTGTGTCTGCCTCTGCAGGTGGGTTGGCATTTCCCCCTTAGCGTTATAATACAGTTCCTTTGTTTTGAAGGGTCGATTATAATCTATTCTTCCTATTTGGGGCTCTAAATCCCTCTTATGTTTGTCCATTCATTTCTTCTAGAGGATTGGGAAATTTGCTACTGTAATTGCATTGAAGGAACTATGGGAAATTTGCTACTGTAATTGCATTGAAGGAACTATGGGAAATTTGCTACTGTAATTGCGTTGAAGGAACTACACCTTTAGATTTCACTTCAACTTTTTCTTCTTTCTTGAGGATTTTTGGGCTTAGTCTCTTGAACGTGTCCTGGGTTTTGGTCATGCTGACCAACTTTTCTTTTGTTTATCTGAATGAATTATCATCTTCATTTTGTCCATCCCTTGATAGTCTTAATCTTTCCTTGGCAGCATGGTTTTGTTTGTTGGTCCTTTCCACTGTGATTTTCCTTTGATTGGTGGTCTCTTTGAATCCCAGCATTTCTACCTGGCTGCTCGGAATCAGGTGCCGAAGTTTCCCTAGTTTTCTAAGTTTGTTATCCACATTGATCACCTGTCCATCTGTTTCATTAGCTTTCTGTTGTAGCTGATTTTTAGAATCTAGCTGATTCTCTCACTTCATGCATCTGCTTGTTTGAGGCTCCTGTGTAGTTATCAATTCTTTACAAAGCAGGACTCTGAACCGTGTTTTCCAGCCTTTCATCTATCATAGCCTTGGTTCCTTGTTTGGGGGAACTGTGGTCTTGTGGCCGTTTTCTTATATGTGCTGTTTCTTTGTTGTGTTTTGCACTTCTGTTGGTGTGACTGCGGCCCTGGTTTTTCCTTTTCACTTTCTCAACCCTCTTTAGACGTTTTGCAAGTCCCCAGGCAAGCTGTTTTTGCTGCTGCTTATGTTTCCTGGACAATTTGGAAGGGATGCTGACTACAGCAGCAGGTGTAAAGAGTTGGCAGCAGTCTGGGTGTGAACTTGCAGGAGTGGACACTCGGCCCTCCCCTTGTGCTCTCAGTAGGGTTCAGAGACAGTGGCACTACAGTGCTGACTTGGAAAAACACAATGAATAGGCTTTTTTTTGAGTTGAGAAAATTAATAATTAAGAAATAAAAAGAGAGGAAATAAATAATTAAGAAGTAACAGGAAAGGGAAAGGAAAACATAGAGTTAAGTTTGAAAAGGAAGTAAGTGTGGGTGAGAGTGATAAGAAGCAGTGGAGAACATGTTCTAGAATAGGTGCTGAGAAGAAGCAAAGAGGGAAAAGAAAAGCCATAGAAGAAGTCTGTTTGGATGAGACAGAAGCTAAAACAAAAACTAAGCAGCTAAAGTGCCAAAGCAAATATTAAAGGTTCAAATCAAAATGCACTATAACATAAAATGCAGAATAGTACTTCATGTTTCTATGCACTAGCGCAGGGTAGTAGCCCGTGTTTCTTGCTGGTAGAGATGAAGACAGTTTTCCCTGCCCGTTGGTCATCTTTCACTGCAGTGTTGCAGGTGAGGTAAGGACTTTAAACAACGTTGCCCAGTGTGTCTTCCCTACTGAAAGGGGACTATGTAGAAGTCTCCTTTCTTCAGCCCCTTGCCTGCTGGCTGCAGCTTCATCTCTGGTGTGAGTGTAGGGCGTTCTGTGATGGGGTGTGGAAGGCACACCCATACTTGTGTTCACCGTTGCTGTTGGGCACTCTCCTTCCTTCTACATTCTGCTGTTTTTATTCCTCTTCTCTGGTAGCTCTTGTCTAGGAGTTCTTGTGTTCACTAGTGGCATTACGCCAGGTTAAACACTTTTCTCATATTCCTGCCTTTTCTCTTGCCTAGGCAGTGGCAGAGGGGCGTCCTTCTGTGTCCCTCTGGACCTTGCAGGGAGGCTCAGCTTAAGACTCTCATGTGGTATGTTTACCACGGTCCCCATAGTTCCGCATTGTGCTGGTTATCTTTTTGTCCAGCTTGTATTAACTCCTGACTGCAGCTCTGTAGTCTAGCCAGTAGTCTCTCTTTAGCTTGTCAGACTTATGGTGGCTGAGTTCAGCAGGAAGCAGTGCCTCCCTGCCAGCTACCCCTGACTCCAGTCTGGCATGAGCACTGTAGAGTGGCTGTATGCCAGTTGGCTGCTCCTGGCTGTTTCACCATGATGATTCTGTAGATGTCGCCACGGCTCGTTTCTTTTTCCTTTGTCACCTGTCTTTATTTTCCCACTGTCCTTTGTGTGTTTCTGATCTTCTTTCATTTAACTCACAAGAATTCTAGTCATTTTTATCTCGATGCTTCTCTTTAACTAGGTCTCATAGAGGCCTTGTCTGTCACCATAAATAGAAATCTTAATTGTTGTTTTTGCGACAGAGTCTTGCTATGTAATATAGGTTGGCCTGGGAACTCACAGGATTCTGGCCTCAACCTTCTTAATGCTGTGATTATGAGTGTGTGACATTAAATATAACCACCCTAGAAGAGACATCCTTGAGCTCCTTGCTTCATAAGGCTGGGTGATCTTTTTCTCATTTCTGCTTTAGTTCCATGGCCAATTTTGCACCATTGACCTCAATCTTTTATCTGGTGTGCCCCTTTTCCACTTAGAAAGTATTGTTTCTGAAATAACCCTTCATTATTCTCTTTTATGGTAAAGGCTCCTCAGCACAGTTAAGTATTTCAGGGAAGTTTGGGTGGGGCACACTACATGTTTCTTTATCTTGGGGTCCAGAGTCATAATCATCAAAATAAATGGTTTGTCTCTAACCTTGTGTTAATTAATCGATGTCCAGTGTTCTTAGAAGAGTTGTCTAGTCTTGAATCTAGAAACATCTTAAATGGGTAGAGATTATTTCACTTCACAAAGTAAGCTGCACGGTTGTATCAAGTGTCTTGGAACTGATAGGAAGGGGAACTGCTAGGTGGGCCTTCTTAGTGCATAGCCATACTATTATGTAACAGCTTTCCAAAAGATAATTTTAACCCACAGGGAAGGTTTCCTTGTCATCAGATATTTAAGTCACTCCCTGAGTGATTGATGGTCATTGCCGATCTGTTTATCATCCTTGAGCTCACAATTGATTTTATTCTTTTATATGGGTTGAATGCCATCCTAAAAAAGTTCAGGTCCACCTGTGACACAGCTTCCTTCCTGTAAGAATCTTCCTCAGGACAGAGTGTGTGGTGCACTTGCTGTCACCTATAGATAACTCATTGCCTGTGGTTTTAGTGTCTTCTCTTGGCTTTTGAGAGCAGGGATTGGGGTAGGCCATGTGATAAGCCCAGGCTTGAATGTTTGGTTATTGACATTAATGCAGACAGTGAATCTCAGTCTCCTGGTGCCAGCAGAGCCCTTCAGTGATACCACAAGCAGAGCGGAGAAGCATATGGGATGAAGATATGTAATGTCTACTAACAAGGGGCACAGCATACAGTGAGTTACTCCTCTGCTGGGGTGACTTCCTATCATTGCCAGAGAAGTAGGACTGCACCCACATTACAAAGAAAAGGACCTACCATTCCTTGTCTTTTCCTCTGCCTCCCTTTGCCTGGGAAGGAGTCAAAGACTCCGATCTAAG